GCCTGTGAGATGACGCATAACACGTAAGGACACGTTACAGTTTTTGGACAGCTTTGATCAATCAAGCTTCACGGGTGACGTCAGCAAAGCGCATGCGTGCCACAACATCTGGACTACATACCATAAGTCGATCGTACCAGCCAATGAGAACCCGCCCGGACCAGACAGAAGCTGAACAACACCAGAAATACTGGAACGCGATTGACTGGGGCTTGGATGACCAATGAGCTTGTTTTGTACATATTGTTTAATCTCCCTTATTTCTTTTTGCGTACTACTCAAAAGTGAGTAGTATCTCACAGTACTCCTCCCCCCGGCGCAAGGGATCTCTGCATGCCCTGATCAATTGGCGACTGCTGCTTCGATTGTGCTCATGTTTGTCTCTGATTTTCGACGTTTGGCAGCGTCCTGTCTGACGTTGTGTTATTGGATTCTGGAATTTAGTTTGTTGGTTTATGGCGTGTGCTGCACATTTCCTCATGTCATGTTGTGAGATCGTTCCGATGTACACGACGGATTTCGTTCATTCGTTTAATTTTGTACACGGGATGGCGTTGTTCAACTATGCGGTATGGACCTTTCCATTTGGGCATTAACTTCCTCGAGCCAGGACCGCTCGCGAATCCCCGAACATGCTGCTTATACTTTACATCAGATCCAACCGGAATCACACTGGTCGTCCGTCTGGTTTCTATCTTAGACTTGCGCATTGTATCCTCCTGCACTTTCACCAGGTTATTCCAGGCTTCACGTCTTATCTGTTGAAGTTGTTGCGGAGATAAATCATTTCGCGGCCAACTGCCAACAACGAGATCCACTGGCAGCTTCGGAGTTTTTCCCGGACATCAATTGAAATGGTGCATGTTTGGAACTGGCCTGCGTGGTCGAGTGGTACGCCAAAAGTAGGGAAGGTAGGGCCGACTCCCAATCCCCTCTTTTCGCAGCCAGCCATTCTTTGATTGTTCTGTTATTGCGTTCGGTGAGGCCGTTGGTTTGTGGGTGATAGGGCTTTGTGCGTATCTTTTTGATGCCTAATTTCTTTAAGCACGCGCGAAATTCATCACTCTCAAAGCACGGGCCTTGATCTGTCAGGATGGCTTATGGTACACTATGATTCGCCAAATCACCACTCTGCTTATCGTAGCGGCTTTTTGATCCGCGACTCCTACGGCTTCAATCCAACGCGTGAAGTGTTCCGTCATTACGGCGATATATTGGTGTCCTCTAGGGGACATCGGAAATGGACCCATGAGGTCGATAGACTATAATTCACCGATCTCGGATACTGGTATTGACTGAAATGGACATTGTGATGGGCAGGAGTCTGACTTGAACAGTTGGAATTTTTGACACGCCAGCACCTGGTTTGTCACATCAGCCTGCATATTTCGCTAATATGCCCACTGTCAAAGCAGATCGTAAGTTCGAGCGCATCCAGTATGGGACAATTCATGATTTTCTTTGATGAGGATTTGAGGCAGCTGGTTCGGAATGACGACCACAGGGCACCTTCTTCTTGGCTGCCGTTTCATCAAGATGCCAGCGGCATTCAAATAAAGCTGCCTCCATACGAATTTCCATGACTTCATGTGTGTACTATTTTGAATGTTTCGGCATTGCTGGCCTGGTGAGATTACTTCGATCACCTTGCGGAGTTCTTGGTCCTTGCGCTGTTCCTCCACCAATTCGTGCGGGTCTTGTCCCGCTGCCGGCATACTGACGGTGAAGGAATCT